ATTAATTTAACCTTTTATTCAAAAGAGAATAAAAAGGGGCTTCTTTTCAACTTTGTATTGTTAAAGTTTAACTTATTAGTCATTCATATTTCCTTTCAAATAATAAATAATATTCAAGAAAATTCAATTCACTCACTAATTCCAATATACTTCCATTCCATTATAACCAATATAATAAATAGGAGCACAAAAAATTGCTTGAATAAAATAAAAACTCTACCAACTCCACATAAATATAATTTAATGAGAAAGATACCTAATTAATTATAATGCAAGAGATCAAAATATGTAGGAGGTACATACCTGTGAACAACATACTAATTATAGAGTTATGCAGTGAGGTAGCAACAACAAATGACTAGTTAGTGAAATAGTTACACTAAGGAGTATTTTGCCAAGCAATGTGACACTTATACTTACCCAGCATCAGCACAAATCTTTAATAAGAGATATTCTTGTAGGTATTTCTTTTCCTACAAATTAAGGTCAGAACGTGGAATTTCATCGCTTCAACGTAAGACATAAAGATACACTGGGGCTGGTGAACGAGATTTTAAAGGATAGGAATTTACCTATCTTATTAGTTCATGAAAAGATATTCTTAACAATTGCTTACATTATCGAGAGCTATAAAACGCATTCGCCATTTTCACCACGCTCAAAAAAAAATCGGTCATCCAAGCTCTTGGCGATAGAATTAGTTTGGCAATCACCCATTTCAGCTGATCGCCAAAGTCTAGGGTTATAAAATAGGCGGGCATTCAAGACAGTGCGCAATAATTTTCCTCTATTCATTAATGAAATCACAGTTAATTGCTTAAGGTTAAACTGCTTGTATAAATGTCTAATAAAATATGATTTTATTTTTCAAACTTCATTAAATAATTTTAAAATTCGAATGAATTTTAAAATCACAGAGGCCGTGATTATTCATTTGATATATCATACTCTCAGCAACAGTGCGAGACTTTTTTTCCCCTTCGCATTTTCCCTTTTCCCTAAAATTGTGCGGTTCTTTTTTTTGTTTTATTTACTTTTATGGTGAACTTTGATTGCGCTAGCTTACTTTGATCAAAGTACTTTGATCGTGTCAAACCGCCTTGAAACAACACCAAATACTTTGGCGAGTAAGTTTGGCACAATCAATGTAGGGTTATAAGAAGATTGTCATTTGGAATCGTGTCAACGGAACCGATTAAACTTTTTTATGACATTACGAACTATGAATTTGGCAACGGATTTAAGATCTCAGGAATACCGGGAATACAAACAGTCTAATTTTGTGTTTGGTTTAATTTTTGAATATTTACACGTGAATTATTAACGCGATATGGCTTTAAATGCCGAAGCAATTAAGAAAAATTCAAGTCAGACATGTCCTCCAGCAATTTACGATCCAGAAAAAGAAAAAATCCTTTTAAATCTATTAAGCTGGGAGGCAGAATTAAAAGAATCACTAATTGTAAGTTTAAAATCTTTTCTTATGAAATACTCTGCGTCAAAAAATGCTTTTGTGTTGTTATATTAAATTAACTTTAATTGAGTGTTTATTAAATATACTCTATTTTGTTTTGAAAAAGCTAAACTGTTTAAAGTCTCATTTATTCATATATTGTATTCACTTTGGGTGCAATATTTGACCCGCTCTTTCATATGGTATCGATATTAATGCATAATTAACTTCTGGGCTTCGGCGTCAGAAAAAAAAAATGAAGCGTAAGTTTAAAATTCATTTTACGTCTTGGAAATTGTAGTTTGCAGGACAGATCATTGCGCGAAATATCCCAAAATAAATGTCTTTTAATGTAATATTTTTTAATTATCCCTATTTGCTATTTTGTTTAGATTTAAATTGGATTAAGTTGTATTTTATTAAATATGGGTACAATTCAATGTCCCATTTATTTGTATTTATTACATTTAAACATACTTTCCATATTAACTGAAATAATAGTTGTTTTATGTATATACTTTAAAAAAAAATATAGGTGATCTCAAACCCCTATTACTATACATCACATTTTTTTATCAAACATCATGCCCCCTGAAATTGATTACGCTATTTTTTACTGTATAATCGGTATAAATTATTATTATTTTTTTTTAGATATATTTTTGCATTGTTAAATGCATCAACATAGTCACAAAGTTATCGTGCGCACCAGGCTGTTGGAAATTAGAAAGTAAAGAGGGGAAAAAAAGCCTACAACTTTTGGAGGGATCGAATTAAAATATCTGGTTACTGTAATTTTTTTAATTTTACTCATAAAAAAAATTGAAAATATTATTTCATCTTGTCTAAGATCTGCTAAAAGATTAATTATATTTATTTCTTAATTTGTTTTAATTTGTCTGATTTTAAATCAGTAATAATTCATTAAAGCACTCTCTAATTTTCAATATTATTCAGGTTTACTTTTGAAAGATTTCTCAACAGATCAACCGATTAAAAAGACATTTTGAGGTCAACAACTGTCAGTCATTTTTGGCATAATTTTTTTTTTGTGCCATTTGTTTTTGGTTTATTTCACAATTTTTTGCGATTTAATAACTATAAGTACTTCCAATTTGAGAACTACATAACTTAAAAAGCTACACTTTGTGAAATAATTTTTAATTGCGCTTTATGAAATATGGTAAATAATTTTTTTTTAACAAAAGTTGAATTTTTAAAATATTTGCAATTAAATTTTTAAATTTTTCCACAGGAAATATTTAATTTAACAACTTTTTAACAAGCAATAAAAAAAAATGCTATGTTAAATAAAAATAGTTAAATTTCTCTGTAATATCTTGCTAAATAGGGTTTTTGCATAGGGGAGAGGGGGGCACCTTTCAACAGTTTTTACTAAAGAATTATTTTCGAAGTTTTATTGTGCGATAACTAGTTATTTTGTTATCAATTGTTAAAATTGCTCAATTAGCCCCGCCCCCTAAATCGCTGCTAGGGTTCCCATCTGCTCTGATGACGTCATAATATAGTACAACCACGACTCCATGTTTCAAAACGGCGAAATCATGTACCGCGCCGGTAAATTCTCAAAAATGGCTCCAAGCAAAAACTACAAGTGTTGCCTTGTACCATGTTGCGATAGTTCTAGATTAAACACGTGAAATAAATTATTTTTTTAGTGTACCAAAAGGAGGAAAAGGACAAATTCGGTGCAAAGCCATCAAACGCGATGGAAAAAAAATATCAAATTGTCTGCAACTACTGCATTATACTGTTGCTAAGACCATTTTACAGCAACTTACTTAATTATAATTTAATTCTATAAGATTGTTTTTCTGATTGATAAGCTTCTCTGAATGAATAATTCATTATACTGAATTAAAATGTTTATGAAATGCTGTTCAGATCACTTTCTTTATTTTTTTTATTCTTTAAAATGAAAGGATTTTATTCTTAGAGAACAGTGGTGTACAGGTTTTTTTTTGAAGTTAAAAAGTAATTTTATTTAAAAGAAAAAAATATCAAAGTTAAAATAAAAAGCGATAAGGGTTTAGCATTATTTACATTTCTTCCAAAAATTCAATAAAATATTTTATTTACCTGAAAACTTATAATTCCATGCCATATACCATTCCCTCTAATGGAGATCAACTCATTAAATAAAAACTTTCAAAACAGTTCAAACTATTATATATAGACAAATATAAATAAAAATGAATCAGTATAAATAAAGAAAAATGAATTTATTTCAAAACTAATTGGAAAAAAAAGTAATTTTGACATTTATTTTTTTCTCCCTCAATTTTATTTAATTATGCTGAAGGGTTTTGAGTTAAAAAATAATTAATCTTATCTAGAAGAAAAAATTATCAACGATAAAATAAAAAGTAATAGGGGTTTAGCATTTTTTACATTTCTTCAAAAAAAATTCAAGTAAATATTTTAGAAGTTAATAATAAAAAAGAATTTTTAAAAAAATTTATTTACTTCAGAACTTATAATTCCAGGTCATATACCATTCATTCCATTCTCTCTCAATTGGGATCAACTCATTAAATAAAAACTTTCAAAACAGTTTAGACTTTTATATGTAGACAAATATAAATAAAAATGAATCAGTATAAATGAAGAAAAATGAATTTATTTCTCAAGTTATTGAAAAGAAAGTAATTTCGACATTTATTTTTTCATTCTTCTATTTTATTTCGTTATGCTGAAAGGTGCCCACAAAAATTTACTCAAGGGGGGGAATGCAACTGATATACACTACATATATATTTAAACTATATATATATATGATATGAACATGAAAGAAAAACGGTTTTTTAAAAATGCAATTCAAATTCAAACACCACACTTTTCTCGATAGGAAGCTTTAGTTTAACTCCTCCCGTTCGCTGAGTTACTATACTTTGACGTCGTAAGCAAACCCAGACTCATTTTGTGTCACATGAAGTTAGTTTCGTTTTGGGCTTATTTTAAGTTAAGTTTTTAAAAAATTTGGATCGGTTTTTTAAATTCTGAATTGATTTGAAAGGGTTTTAAGATATAGACTATAATAATTAACATTCTGCGATTACCCAACGCATGCAGGTTCCTCATTACTTTTCAATTGGAATCCAAACCAAAAATAAAAAAACACTTAGTTTTCATAAATTTTTTTAATAATCCAGATTGAGCCTGACCTTGATAAATTTGGATAACTTGAGTTCTACTCTATGCATATTTTTTTACCTTTTTTTATGTAAGTGGATATTTTCTATTTGTAGCAAGTAAATTTTTTGTTTTTTGCATATCTATAGTTAGGGAGAAAAGCGGCCCCTTCAGAGCAGATAAACAAAAAAATGGCTAAAGCTGAAAAATCTGTAAGTATATAGGTTTCTTTAAAGTCATCTTTTTTTTCTAACGAAATTTGTATTTGATTTTTGTTTTAAATGTTTGACTCTGCAAGGGTTTTGTGCCTTGAGTGCACATATCTGTAAATATTTTTAGCAATCATCTTAGTTGTTGTTTTAATATTAATATTCTTATGTAAAATAAATGATTACTAAATTGCTTTCAAAACATACGAAGTATAAACAGTGGCGTATCTAGGGTATGGCGAACGCCATGGGCGCATTATTTCAAAAAGGCGCAAAATCGATCAACATCAAAAAATTTTTTACTTAAAAATTTTATTAATTTTTTTTTTAAATTTATATATATATATATATATAGAGAGAGAGAGAGAGAGAGAGAGAGAGATAGTTAGGGGGGAATTGAAATAAAGCATACAACATTTAACCTTTTCACCTGGGCTCGAAAAGAAAACATCGTTTTTTGAGGGGACTTTTTGTCACTGGGGCAGTGAAGAATGAAAGGGAACCACTAATCGTAAACAAAGTAGATGACGAGCGTCAAACATTTCAGATTAAATATAATTTGCTAATGCTCATGAATACATTCACAATAAATACTAAAATAAATAAATGAAAAAAAATAGCTTTTTCTTTTCAGCCGATTTCATCAAAAACCAAATTTTAATTACAAATTCATAAATTAAAGAATAAAGCTTAGTTTTTAATAATTATTATTACTCCCTTAGCTAACTTTTTAATACATTCCAATAAAAATATTTTTAATTTTTATCAAAATCCTTTAACGAAAAATCTTTTAACCTCATATATAATTTCAAATGAATTTAAAATTTTCGAAAATGTAGCTTATCATTGCTTCACAACAAGTCAAAGCTGTAATAGAAAGAATTTAAGTTATAGCTGATACGGAAAAAAAGGAGACAAAATATAAGCTCATTATTCATTATAGAAAATTACAGAAAATTTAATTTTTTTCTCTCTTTTCAGTGTATTATGTATTTAATATTTTTCAATTAGAAATGAAAAATGAAGCATAAACTAAATGTAAAATTATTTGAAGAAGCAAAAAGAAAAAAAATTTTTTTCAGGTATAAATGATCATAAAATAAACAGTTTAATGTTCATTCAAAAGGGTTATTCGCGCATAAGAGTTTTAAATTTTGAAGTTCACAATCTTCAAAAACAAGACATTATTTATTTGACTCTATTGAAACTAACTCAGAGTCAAACTATAATATTGCATAAGGAAAAAAAACACTGTAATAGCCTCAAAAAATCATGGTTATATAAAAAAATAAAATAATTTAAATTACAAAGGTATAGAATATATATTAGTATTAAGAATGTATGTTGTTGTTATGTATTAATGTAAGTTATGCCATATTTCAAATGTTTATATAGCCTGATGTTATAGCTCTTGAGTAGTAAATATATCGATATAAATCAATGTCTTTTTCCTCTGCAATTCATAATGTATATATTTAAAATCATGTAGTTTTCAACAATAAGAACAGAAAACAAATCCTAAAAATATTTATTGATTTTTATTTAGAATAGTTTACTTTGATATATTCATTTCAATTTAAAATAATTTACTTAAAAAAATGCTTTTCGACTTAGATTATTTAATATTATTTATGTTTATTTGAAAATACCATACGTTAAAACTATACTATAATAAAGAAGCTGAATCTTTAAATTTAAAATATTTATCTATATGAAAAAATTGGCAAAAATATAACAGACTAAAAAATGAAAGGCGACCGAACGAAACTTAGGATGTTCAAAAGTAGGTGAAACATGTAAAGAAACTTTTTCCCCCTTATATCTAAAGGAAAGTGAGACCTCCCATAGTGCATCCCACCATGATTTTACTCTCTCTTTTGAAGAAGTCCCCCGTTCTTAATCTGGAAAAGATTAAAAGAAAGACCAGAATGCAGAGAATCCATGATCCCTGAATAAATTTTTATTTTCTTTATTTTTCCACTACCATAAGCAAAGAGAAAAGATAAACAATTTGTTCCTTTTCTTCAATCACATTGCAAGACTGTAGTCCTTCTAAAAAAGCAATTAACTGGGGAGGAAATGGATGGAACCCCTTCAGGCAGAGATAGATCTTTGGTGATGACCAGATATCAATAAAGTGATAATCACAATAATATTTTTTCATTAAATAATTAGCTTTATTTTAAGAATATTTAAAAAAAATAAGCATCTAATGAAAAACTATAGCCTGTTTAGTTATAAAGCATACGCATTCTTGCAATGTATTTCGATGCGAAAAGTCATCTTCTCCTCAAATATTTCAATGATTTATATTTTTCTTTTTCCTTAAAAACAACTTTTAAATCTAATTAATTTTGATTAGTTTTATAAAGTTTTTTGAAAAACCTGTTCTGCAGGTTAGTCTATATTCATATAGCTCGAATATGGAGTTCGGTTTCCTGAGAAATCGAATTTTAAAGAAGTCGGATATTTGAAATTTGATTTCTCATTAACTGTTCGATCAATTTTGCTAAACTATTGTATTTTCCCATGTTAAATTACCTTTTAAAATGGCGTAAAAAAATTTTACCTTACAATTAAAATTTTTAAGACAATTATTAAATAAAATAATAAATATTTACTAAAAGTAATTTTTTTTTAGCAATTTTCAAAATTATAGGCAACCATAATATTTGTGCAAATTTTTTTTTTTTTTTTCACTTTGCTTGAAAATCTCTCTAGTTGCTTCTCAGATTGCGATTACGCCCTATATTTTGGGGTTCAGAAATCCAATTCCGTCGAAATAATAGCATGTATAAACAGAAACTTCAGAGAAGGTACAGCTTAGTATCTGATTTCGTAACTTAAAATATCATACCTACACCTGTTAATTATTCTATTTTAAGTCACCCCTTGAACCATTGAGATAAGAAGAAAGTAAAGATCTGATCATTAGATCAAAAGTAATCAGGGTGGTCCCTTTATTTATTTTTTTGCTCACTGAGCTTCTAAAAATTTATAATTCATATCTCTTTAATTTTTTGCTTTTTCTTTAATTTGTTCTATTGTGATGCGAAGAGAGAATTTTTCATATATTTTTTTTAAAATTAAATATAGCAGAATGTATTCTGGTCTATTTCTTTACCTCTTGCCTTTTCTTTACTGTTTTCAAAATAATTATTTCTAGATATTCTTAAAACTAAAACGTCAACTTCCTCTAATTTATTTCTCAATGAAGAATGCATTATTGTCGCTATTAGTGTATTGCATGTAATTATGTGTATATTTTTTCATATTATCTGTTATTAATGTTTGTGAAACTTTATTACGAGCATCGGTCTTTTATTATTGAACAGCAAATAAACTAACAAAATTATATCTTTTGATTGTAGCTATTTTATTTGTAACTATCACAACAAATCGTAATTATTTACACTGTGATGTTTAATGAATTTATTATATCGCGATTATTTTATCGTTTTTATGTTAGCAGAGCGTGATTATTTTTAAAAAATCAATTTCCTTCAGTTTAATTTTGAAAATGTTGGGTAATCATCCGGTTATATTATAGTTCTTCTTTAACTCAGAGCTACATTTGTTGTGTGTACGTATTTTTGTTACCAAATTATATTTGTAAAGCTTTAAAATATAATAGTGCTTAATTAAACAACTTGTTAGAATTTTTATTGACAATTGCAAAAACACAATAGAACCTTCTATAAATATGATAGAAAAGGTATATTTATTTCTTACCAATGAGGATTTCGAATATATGTGAAGGCATAACAATTAAAAAGAGATAATTTTATTGTTATATTTAATATTTATTTGTTTATCAATTCTTTTTTTTTTTCTTCTTTTTCTAAATTCTATGCAGTATTGTCAAAGGAGTTAAATACTTCAAACAATTCTTTTATTTTGTATTGGACAAAAAAAAATTTAAAAAAAAAAAAGAGAATATTAATATTTTAGGAAGAGCGCCAGTAAGAGATTTGCCATAGGCGCTTCTTTCCATAGATACGCCTCTGAGTATAAAAATTATTTATAATATACAGTCAATGTGATCTTTGGCATGGCATTTCGCTGGCCAGCACTTCATAATTGGGAGAATATGATGAAATTTCTGCTCGCAAGCAATCGTCAAGTTGTTCATCTGTAAGTCGGGATCTATATTTTGATTTTATGATATTCATTGTCAAAAACAATGATTTGCACAAGCATGTGGAACCATTAACGACTTTATTTTATGTGCTGCTCTTTTTAAGGCTGGAATTTATTCCTTCAACTATATTCCAGAATTTCTCATTTGACATAATAGTTTTGAGGATAATGTCATTCTGAAGATTCACAATTTCTATCTCTACTTCTCGCCTTACTTGAAAAAATTCTGAAACGTATGTTGCTAATACAGTTATGTTTATTTGGTTGGTAAAAGGATTAACAAGAAAGATTATCAAAGGCTCAATGATATTAAATTACTGAAAGCGCTTTTCAAATTGATCTTGAAGTAATTAGAGGTTGATCTCAATTGTTGATAAGCCAATATCACTGTCACCTATCTTTTTTTTTTTTTTCCTGTTTGGAAAATGCACAAGAAACTTCATTTTCAAATGTGATATCTACAAAGCTAGCTTAGCTCTGAACGAGTTTATAACCTCTATCATTTTTGCTATATGTTTGTCCTTTCCCTGCAGTTCCAAGTTTAAATTATTTACTTTTTCCATCATGTCCGTTATGAAAGACAAATCTGCTGTCCAAAGAGGAACTCTTAGTTTCAAAAATGTTTGATATTTGGCTGCAAGATAATTTTTTATTTCTTCAATTAAATGTAGAAATCTATCAAGTACTTTGCCTTTACTAAGCTAGCGTACTTCAGTATGTATTCGTATAGCATAAAATTTGCATGGCATTTAATGGGAAATTGGAAAACTGATATATTTTATCGTTGGGTGACCGCGGGCGTAGGGTTGGGGACCCCTGTTCTAAAGTAACATCCAATTTTGCATGCAGTTTTAATTATAAAATATATTCAATTGTGAATTTCGATGCTGACTTATTTATATCATAATCTCAGTAAACTTTTTGACCTTTCAAGTAAATAAATGAAAATTTTTAAGAAATTGAAAATTAGTGAGTTCAACTTTTTCAAAATCAACCCAAAGTAGAAAAGCCCAGCAAAAAATATTTGGATGCTTCAGATCTGAGTTTTTACATTTCTGCATTTGCTTACTCCAAATATTTCAGCCTTAGAGAAGCTCTTGACACTTGAGCAGATAATTTTGATGGAGAAATGTTTGCATTCCTTACGGCTATTACAGCAATTGGTGAACCATCTGAGCAAAACATTGTCGATTCTCAGGCTGCATTTCAGACAATTTCTGAATATAATTTATACCCCTCTGTACTTGAAATAAAGGTAGTCCTCCAGTGGATCCCTGGCCATTGTGGCATCTACGGAAATGAACGGGCTGACATGTTAGCTAGAGAGGCTTCAGCATTGCATCCACCCTCTCATCCAGTTCCTCTGAGAAATGCAAGGCGACTTCTTAAGAGCAAATTCAGACGCAGAACAATATCTATTTTGGGGACTTAGCTGATGGAAAATCCTGGGATAGCCTTCTTGATGGCCAGCAGCGCTCTCATCTTTCCCTCCTTCCCATAGCTGAGGGAGTTGCTTGCCTTAGAATAATTACTGGACATGACTACTTGCAGGCCGATCTATTTAAGATTAACCTTTTCAATTCACCTCTTTGTGTGCTCTGTAACATTTCGCCTATGACTTGGGAGCATCTTTTTGATTGCCCCTCTCTTGACATTCGTTCCAGTGACGACAATCATGCCCTCTCACTTTCTGGAGTTACTTCACTGTTGTATTGGACTGCAAGACGCCTTATGTCCGAGAAGACGATGGCGGGCATAATTAAAAAAAAGAAACATTTCTGCATTGTATTGTTATGTTTAATTTCAGGCATTTGTTGTTCTCCGTTAATTTTTGTATTGTCTATGAAAATAATTTACATCTTTTTTAAGATATCTTCATTTAATGTAATATTTTTTGTTTTATTGTTATTATAACAAAAATGTTTTGTTTCTTTTTGCTTTATAGTTTGGGAAGAATGATTTCTTGAAAAAAGAACCTGTAAGTATTTATCTGAAAAAATAATTTATGTAGATTTTTTTATAAATTTGCATATCTTATGGTTGTTAATTAACTGCACATAATATTTAAAGTTACAATGTTGGACAAAAATATGCTTTCTCCAAATACTTTTTTTTTAGACTAGTTCTGTTTATATATATGTAATATCAGGGCGACATCCCTGATATCATTGTTGTATTTAGCTCGAAAAGATGCAGTCGTGAGCCATAATACTTTCATAACAGGTTTATTTAAAGGTAGGCTGGTGGTGATAACATATCACATCCGCACTCCACAGGGGAGGGGAATGGACAAGGCTTCTGACAATTCAGGAACAGCTTATCATGATCACATCATGATGAAAAAGACACGCAAAAACTTGTGTTCCTATGTTTTATACAAACATAGATTTGAGGTAAAAAGGCACACTTCGTACATTCCTGTAACCTTACGCATTAAGGAAAATCATTTACTCCTTCCTAATATGGAAGTGACAAAGGGACAAGATTCTAAAAATAACTACTCCCTTGAAAAATATAAATCTAATTATATTTCAATGGTATGTTTTCAGCCTTGAATTCCCAAAATAGAATCTCTCTACGCTTATTCTTTAACAAAGACATTTGATGAAAACGAAAGAGTTTTAATTCTTTTATTAATACAAAAGTATTTAATTTTTTCCTAAAAATAAAAGTGTTACCCCGAATATGACAAAACCCAAAATACATCATACAACACAGGAGATCCCAATAAATCAGTGTAAATACTGTTCGAAGAAAGGACTATTGAATCAGTTTCACATGGGCTCCTCGTGTGTAAACAATGATATCAGGGATGTCACCCTGATATTACATATATATATATATATATAAGTATAAAATNTTGAATATAAGAATCTTTTAAAAATCTTCGCCACTTTCCAGATTGAACTATCAGGACCTAAAATATGGTCCTGATAGTTTAATCAAGAAAGGGATAAAAAAAAAAATTTTGAAATTCTATTGTGTAAATTTTTTTTATTTATTTATTCGAATATCTTGAAACTATTTCAGTAAAAAAATGGTTTGTGCACCCAATTTTATAACTAATTTGCCAGTGAATATTTCCATAATGAAATTATATCTTATAATAAGTTATTTTTCTTTATTGAATTAAATCATGAATGAAAAATTTTTAAATTTGAAGGTAAACAAATTTTTATCTTATTTTAAATCCTAAATTTTTAAATGATAGAATTTAAAACGTGAATGGAATTTTTTGAATATAAAACAAGATATGAACATTTAAAAATATGCCTTTTTAGTTTTTTTTTTTTTCTTTCTCAGTAACTATTTAACATTTTTAAATTTGTTTATATAAGATTATATTGTAAGTTATTTGTATTATTTTGAAATAATTTTTTGCTTGGAATTATCTTTGAATAAACAAGTTTGATATCTGTGTTCAGCAACTTTTTGAATTGCTATAGTTTCTGAGAGAGTGTAAAATATATTGAAACTGTATTTTTAGGATTAAAATTCTGTGTTCATACAGTGGAAGTAAATTTTTGTGTCTTGTCACCAAGGTTAGCAAGATTAAGGCACAAGGGTTCAAACCAATTTTTTCTATTACATTTTAATATTTATTTTTAATTGATGCTTTAAAATTAATAATAAATGAAAATGCAAAGTATTAATTTTTACCTTTGTCTAAAATCCAAGGTTTTGAACACTTTTACAAATAATAGGACTATAAAAAATATCTGTCTTGTCTGAAACTAGATCAAGATATTCAAAATTCCAACTTTGATTATTGCTTAGTATATCAACTTTGCTAGTTAATTAGAATATTTAATTATATTTTAGTACCGGAAAATAGTTCCTCCCACTGTATTTAAGGTTTTAACGTTTAATTTCTCAATAAAAGGTAAATAATTGAATAATGATAAGAAAAATTTGATGTGTGTATTTTTCTTTTAGAAAACTCTTAATTGCCATTATGATTACACACCACTGGGAGAATTACATGAGACTCAAGAGAAATCAAACAATTTTAATGTTTATGGCATCGTTGAAAAATGTGATTTTAAAATTTACAAAGGTATTTACAGCAATATATTTTTTGAACTTTAAAATTATAGCATAATCATAGCTGCCAACTCTATTGAATTTCACTAGTTCCACCTGATTTGTTTATATGTATATGGGAAAGTTACTCAAACAAAAGATAATAAAAATACATGCTTTTTCTGATATAATTATTAATTTGATCCGTTTTTTTCCAGAAGTGTAATTTTTGAGAAACTTTTTAAAAATAAGCTCTAAAGTTATAACTTATTGTTGTTGAATAAATTTAATATTTGAACTTTTCAAACTTTTAAACAATTTAATTACCATATCAGGGGTCTGCCCAGGCCGAATTTACTACCGTTTAACGGTACCTTCACAAATTCAACTTTAGGAAAAACGGTAGTTTCACTAAATACTTTTTCTTAAAATTTTATTTTTGTATCCCTTTAGATAAGATAAATCCATATTTTTGTGTTGATTTTTTAATTTTTCACAAATTATGTCTAAATTTTCGCAAAATAGGTACCTCTCAGAAAAACCTAGACAGACCCCTGGATATGTCACAGATTTCTGCTATCTAAAAGGAATTTAATATTATTTATCATTCAAATTAATAAATTCAATAGTAGGACTGGGCTATAAATCGATATATCGCGACATATCGATTTAACGTCTATATCGGCAAACCGATACAGCGACTTTCATTCCAAGCGATGCATCAGAAATCTGATTTAAGCCGTCGAGTGAAGAAGACGATATAGCGATACACGCAAGGACTTTCTCTTACGTTCCGATGCCAACTCGCGCTGTGGAAGACGATATTGTTTCGTTATGTTGAGACGGCCTTGACTGATGAGCGGTAGAATCAGAATCACTTTTGAGACCTTATATCGTTATATCACATGTTCGTTTTCGCACCTTCGCGATTTGAAATCGTTTCTTGTAGATTATTTTCAATGGGATTAACTTCGTGATCGCCGTCGTAACCTTGTTCTGAACGCAATCTATTATTGAAAAGAATTTATAAAGAAAAGTTTCTTCATTAATTAGGTAAGTTTTTTATTTATTTTCTGACAAAACTTTTTTTATATTTTTAAATGTGAAAATTATCGGAAATCTAATTTAAGGCACCCATAAGGAATTAAATTACAAAGTAAATAAATTTGTTAGGTTATTTTTTTACTTTCTTTTAATTTATTAAAAACCTTTCGGATAAAACTTCTAATAATTTAATGGGCTTCTATTACTGATTTTAAATTTATAAATCTTGAGTTGTTTTTATTTTTAGAAATAAAGTTAAAACAAAACTTATTTTTTGGACATAAGTCAATAAACTTTATTTGTTCAAAAGAATTTGAAAAGTTTGCGAATTTTATTCATTTTTTTTTTTTTTTTTATCAATTACTACTTCGTTTTATTAGAGAGTAAAATCATTATTTTTTTTTAATTTTCGTTTTATATTATTAGTTAATTAGCTAAATATATTACCGAATATCACAATTCTTTTGTTTTTATTTTTAAGAATTTAATTAAGAAACTTTGCCTTACTTTGTTTTTCGTTCATAATTCGGTCATTATTTAATTTAATTTAATTATTTATATGAAATAATAATAAAAATAGTGTTTAAGAAGCATTTTTTTTCTAAAATTTATTTAGCTCTTTGTTTTAAGCATACAAATAATTTTTTAACGAACTTATTTTTTAAATTTTGTTCCTATGCTGTTAGGTAAATATATTGATAAATTTCACTTTTATTTATTTTTTTATTTTTAAACTAAGAAATCTTTTGTTATTTGCGTGATCATTTTTAGAAAATATAACAAAACTTGTGTTTACTTCTTCATTAAGAATTTGAACATTACGATCGAACTTAATAATTCTGTAATTATTTACGCATAATAGTACAAGCAAATATTGATTTGTTAAAAAAAGTTTTTTTTTTTAAAAAAAAAAAATATTTTTAACACTTTGTTTTAAGTGTATAATGAATTTCTTAACAAACTTTTTTTTTAATTTTTTAAATTTTCTTTCAATAATTTCAGCTAGATATCTTTATAAAATTCCCTTTTTATTTTTAAACTGAGAAATCTTTCAGAGAACGAAAATTTTAAGAAATTATTACAAATCTTATGTTTACTTTTTAGTTTAAAATTCGAACATTTTTAATTTTAAACTTCGGCTTTTAGTCAATCTAACTTTTATTTTAATTAAAATATATTTTGAAATTTTAAAATCAGCTTTTGTTTAATAACAATATTTTTTTTCATTAAGGGTGTTTTAGGGGTTAACTTAAATTAAGACTGCTTATACCTTATAAACGATAAAGAAGTGCAAATATTTCATTCTGTATCTACACACATTTTTTCAATAAATATTTTAAGTAAGATTTGTACATCTTAGTCAATTTATTTAATATCTTTCTTTAGCAAAACATATATATTTTCAAATTTATAAATTGATTTAAATCAATATGCGTATGAAGTCTTGATAGAAATCTGACTTTCTGTGCCTTAAAGTAAATGAATCTTTTTTGAAAATTTAAGCGATACATCGCTATATCGCGATGCAAAACTGACGATATATCACGATATATAATTTCTAATATCGCCCAGTCCTATTCAATAGTTATAGGTAATTCAAAAAATTCTATTCAAGTTCATTTAGTGAATCCTAAAGCTGTAGTTTTTTACCTTAAATTTTTTTTTTATTTCTCTTTATTGACGATTAAAAAAAAAAACATTTTTAAATTCCCTATGTGGGTAATATTTCATATATTGTGTTGTAGTTACATAAGGATGGCAAGTTTCTGCCACTGTGAAAAAACTACCCCAGAAGTAATAGGTTTCTTCTAACCCAAGTGGGACAATTGGAAGAAACTCTTTTTCAAAATAAATATTAAAACAGTTTTTGAAAGTTTATAATTACAGTCTAGTTTAAATAATAGTATTACTTTTCCAAGCTATTTAATATATCATTTTTAAATACGTGAAAACAGAAACAACTCGTGAGACAGGGAAAACTTGAAATTGTTAGTGACTATTATTTTGACTCTAAAAAGCAGAAAATAATCAAAAAAAGAATTTTTTAGCAAAAACCTAGAAAATTTCTAAATTACACCTGTAAATTAAGCTGTCATAGAATTGTCAGTAAGAGTAATCAGTTATTGTGATCTGAGTAAAATAATTCTAACATCCGTTACAAATTTATGTTGTGAAAATTTTCAATTTGAGCGACTTATCCATTCTTGCATCTTTATTCAATGATATATATATACAGGGGTCTCTCCAGACATTTTGTGAAAGATCCGTTTTTTGTAAAATTGTGAAAAAATTCCTAGTAATTTGTGAATATAAAATAAGCATTAAGTCACAGTTTTTCAACCAGGGTCCGCTTTTGTGAAAATCAAGTCCGGTTATTGCAAAAAACTTTTTCAAGGAGTTTTTAAATTGTAAATGGATACAAAATTAGGCTCAACACTATAAAATTATAATAAAAAAAATTTAATTTTCAAAAATAAACAGCAATTGCTGCTACTAAATTAGAGATGCAACATGCAAAGATTTGGCATTTAGCCTATACTGCGCAACACAGAATATTTATTTCGGAGGAATAATGGAAGCAAAATCAACTCACATTTTTAATAATTTCAATTGACGTATTTTAAATAACACAACTTAGTTATGTATCACTTCTAATATGTTACACATTAAGTAAACTTAAACAAGTCTTAAATTTATAATATATTTTTTAAAAAATTGACATAAGTTAATTTTTATTTGCATAATATTTTATTAATAATATATTGCTCAATTATTTATTTACAAAAAAAAATATCATTAAATATTAATAAGAATGTACTCACAATGTTTGTAAAAGTAGAAATATTTTCTTAGAATTCTACATATGGAATTTATAAATTTTTTTTAAACTTCGAAGAGGTTGAGATATATAATGGAAATGAGATCAAACTTATCCTTAGAATTAAAGCAGAAACACATGATTAACAAAATATTAGAGCAATATACGTCGATTGCCAATAGATTTGAAAATATCTATAATAGCTGAACACTCAGCATTAGTCAATTTTTCTGGTCCATTTACAATAATACGCAAATGTCCATCAAGTGTCTCTTATTTCCTCGTTCGCAACTCTGTGCCAACAAGATTCATTTTTCGAAAATAACCTTTCAACCCTAGCTGTTGACGTTGGTATAATAACCGACAATGTCTAAATAGTTTTATTAAATTGGGAAAAGTTTCCCAGGAATGGGATTCTATTTCAGAAGAATTGAATGCATCAAAGGGAGATATGTTCTTCTCAATGCATTTCTTAGCTTCTTCTTTCTTATTACACTTCAGAAATGATTGGGCTGCAGCATTTTTATTCAAGTCATAAGTCACTTTTGCAAGTGACATTTGTGTCTCAAAACTATCTATTTCTTTCATCGCTTTTACGGAATTTATAAATGGTGGTGATATTTTAATAGCACCTTGAAATTTATCAGTGTCTTTATTCCCATAAAAAGACAACAAAGCAGAAAGACAAGTTTTGTCTGGGCTATTTGGAAACTTGAAATTAATGTCCAAATTACTGAACATATCAAACATCAGTTAAAACGTCATTATTCATGGCAAATGCCTCTGAAATCTCCAACATAAAATGATATAAAAAAGCTTTAACAAAATGTTCTATAAAATTTTGGATCCTGTCGGAAACATTTTGATTGTTACCTTTGTAGCAAGTTTTCATACTAAGATCAGTGCACTCATCCGAAAACTTTAAAAGTTCTTCAGCTTTCCCAAAATTTTCGGCATCTTTTAAATTAAGTGAAAGCTCTTCTACTCCTTTTATGATGTACTAATACTTTGACTTTAACAGAACCAAACAAAATTTAACTGTTTTGCAGCCAAATACTCAATAACTTTCCAAAATAGTTAAATATTTCTGACTTAAACATATAATTTATCAAATATAAACGTCAACAAACTTTTCGAAACGCTGTTTCCATTTTAAAATGTTCATTATTTTTTCATTTTTTATCTATTCTGTAGTTGTTTATGAAATGAACGAAAATGCATGTACTAAAAAAAGTGTAATTTATTTAAAAAATTTCATTTATTTTTAATTTATAAACAATTTACTTTTAATCTTCTTTTGTAAGGTACATTGTAAGTTGAATTCATGTGCATATGACATTTAAAATATCGATATAATAGCCTTCATTTGACAGAATGACTGGTTCATATTAAAAACAAAAGTTAACATTATTTTATACAATTCCTAACAGTATTATGAGTCAAAAACCAGAAATGAGTGTCAAAACACATGCAGATATTATTTCACTTCATGGAAGGGCTATTCAAGTAGACAAGTTTCCTCTGAAACTAATGTTTCACAGACACTGTTGTCAGGACTTTGCAAAGAAAGAAACTGGCCAAAATAAGAGTCACCAATGACCAGGGAGATCTAGAATAACGTCCAAACGTGAGGATAAGTTTATCAGCATTTAAAGTAAGTGGCAGCGGACTCGAAGAGCACCAGAAATCCGTCAGGAATTGAATGTTACTAGTGAGAAAAATTTGTCAGTAACTACTGTACAACGTCGACTTCGTGACTTTAAAAGATTGTGTAGCTGTTAGGAAACCTCTTTTGAAAAAACAAAACATAATTGAGCGACGAAAATTAGCTGAACAACATGTTAACTGGTCCTTAGAACAGTAATCTAACGTTTTGTTCACTGGCAAGTCAAAATGTGAATTGTTAATGTTTGGAAGCAAACAAAGGCATTATGTTGCGCGATTAGTAAGTGACAAATCAATGTTTACTACCAACTGTGAAGAATGGTGGAGATTCAGTCAAGGTTTGGGAATGTTTTACCAGTGACAAAGTAGGAGATCTTGTAAGAATAGAGGGAATTATGAATAAAAAATATTATCACAGAAAATTGCAGCATTACGCTTTTTCAACTATACAGAGAATCGTTGTTCAAGGATTTGTTTTTCAGCAAGATAACAATCCGAAACATTCATCAAAATTGTGTAAAAACTACATTGCATCAAAGGAAAAGAAAAAATTACTGAAATACATGGATTGGCCCCCTTAATCCCAAGATATTAATCCTATTGAGCAAATGTGGCTATACATATGTTAGCAAAATGCGATCTACCAATCAAAACAAACCTTGGAAATCTTCACTTATTTGCTGGAACCAGATCTCAACTAGGACATTGCAAAAACTAACAGAAAGAATGCCAATAATATGAGCTGCTGTGATTAACGCAAAAAGAGGATATTTCGAAAAATACAAAATTGGACGAAATTCATAAGTTGTGCATAATTATCAAATTTCCATTGAAATTTTTCTGATATACCTGGAAAAGTCAGAGTATAATAAATTGCTTGAGAAAAGAATAACTGTAATTCTTCAATATTTTATACAAATGAGTATAGTAAAACTTAATTTTATAATTATATAAAGAACTGCTAAAAAGTCTTAATCAAGCTTAATTAATACTACTAAATTATCAAATAGCTTGCTAAAAATGTACTCTACTAAAAATAAATTGAATTTAAATATGAATACTCAAGCAGACTTCTAAATAATATGCAACATATATTTTTAAAAGTCTATAAAAGTATTTATTTGTTTTGCGTAATTTCGAAAATTTTTCAATTTTCTAGTGTTATATAAAATTTTATCTGTTTAAATTTAAGCTATTCTTATAGTTCTTACAAACATTTGCATTGGTCTTTCTTTAGTTTATTCTACTTTCAGTGTCCTGAAAGAAAAGGGTTTCTTCCAGACAAAATGCCAACCCTCGTTTATGTCAAAAATGCTGGATTTTTTTTTCTTCAGTTTCTGTTGGCAGCTATAAAGTAAATACTTTTTCTATCCATAATTTCTATTAACAACTAATTCAAATTTTATTTTTCAGTTGGCAATAATCTAAGGCAAATACTAACAGTATCGCTTACTGATAAGACAGGAACAGATTTTATGTGCTCCATATATTCGCTAAAAGATGAAATGTGTCCTGATATTCATATAGGGGATATTATACGAATACACCACATGCAAGTTAGTAAATATAATTTCAAAACAATCTGTTTAGTTAAGGGCTTATCAATCTTTTTTTTTTTTTCTTTCTTCTTTTGCTTTATCTAAGAATTTTATTTTTGACTTATCTCAGCTTTCAATATCTTCTTGCAGTAATATAATATTCTAAATGCACCACCAGCTGTACATGGTTTCATTTATTTAAAATTTGTTTCACATTTGATTTTTTTTTTAATTGGACAAATTTTATCTTTTTTTAAATAACATTACTTAAGTATTTTTAAGATATTTTTATCATGAATTAATTTACTTTTTAGATATATTTAATATTTTATGAAAGATATTTGTTTCAATTTTCAAGGTTTCTAAAGATCGATCAAAGCTGAAAGGAAAATGTCCATCTTTCAAGTTCATTTTAGTCTTCAGTAAACAAAATGAGGGCCAAAAGCCACGAACAGTTGCAAAACCGTTAACTTTTACAGATGAAGATGCAGCACGGGTAAAATATTATGACCATTTTAATTGCCGGCTTTTTATTTAAAATATTCTAAAATTGTGTATAAAAATAAATTTGTGAACTCTTAACTCATTATGCTATATTGTAAAGTCAATACACAGGGCTTTTTTACACCTAAGGTTGTAAGTAACAGAAAGAATATCCACTTGATTTAAACAAATATGCACTGTAAAGTTTTCCGTGGCTGTGATTTTCATGTATTGATAAGTCATCAATGAGTTGAAAGTATGATTTCTTCTTTTTTTAGATATGAACCATGACAAGTCTTTTTTTTTTCCCCTCTACTTTCTCAGAATAATTATATGAAATTTAGAAATATAAATCCTCTTCTTTTTATTTTATTTTTTGCTAGAATTTTTTTCCTCTCGTATATTACTTCTATTAATTATGAAGTTTGATGCAATTTGAATAAAATTTAGTTACTTTCTTTAATTAAGTCATTTTAAACATTCTTTTATTCCTTCTGATTACTTTTGTAAAATCAGATGTTTGTTCGTTAATCATTTTTGCAATTAAGATTATTTTCTCCTTTTCTATTGTTTTATTGCTTATAATTATTTCTCTCATTTTTTTAAAGGTGAAAAATTTATTTGAATGGTATGATAAGAAAAATCCACCAAAATTAATTAGTGAAGTAAAAGGGGGTGACTTTGTAAATATTATTTGTCAAGTAAGTCAAATTTTCTCTGTTATTTTCAATTTCTTTTTTTTTATTATTATTCATGAATGGCAAAAAGAACAGCAGTTGAGAAAACTGAAATAAAAGACGCAGCACGCAAAGCAATTTAGTAATGTGAAGTGTGGTGCAAAGGTGGGAATAAAAATTCAATAGCTAGCTCACTTTTTACTTTATTTTAAACAACGTGACTATATTTGAGCACGCTGCACATTCACAGACATAAGGAAAAAAAATACGGAGCTCTGCATGGCAGGCTTTCTACCGTTCGTTCACACTCTCTCACTGTCTCTGAGTTTTTATCCAGTTTCTCGCTAGGGGGCATTGCTAGTTCTAGTTTCTCCACGGACTCCCCCTCTGGCTCTGATGGCGTCTCGAGGAGGAGCCGGGATTTCTTTCCTGGGACGTCCCCTTCTTTTTATAGGAGCGACACGTCCTCCAGTGTCTCTTTTCACTTCAGGTTCCATATAAGGTGTTAAAGATGACATGTGATAAGTTCCCAGAGTTTGGTCTGGACTGGCCGGGTCGGCAATCTCATAAGTTGTTGGGGATCGGTTAGTTAGAACTACATAAGGTCCTTCTCTTCTAGGCATAAATTTTCTACTTTTCTTATTTTTACTAATTGGGTGGATGTTTACCCAAACTTTGTCATCAGGTTTGAAGTATAGTTGACGACGATCAAAATTTGCTTTCGTTGATCCTGTTTGCATTTGACTCGTTCTTTGATCTGGGCTGTTAGACTAGCAAACCTTTTTTTAGGTATGGTGTTATCTCTGGCACAAAGTTACCATTTTCAATGACAGCTCTAACATCATGATTAACGTCATCTGTGGTTCGGAGTTCCCTTCCAAACTGTAAATAGGTGGCAGTGTGCCCTGTTGTGTTCATGGCAAAACGTATCATGGCTAGTTTTTCTTCCCACGTATCATGTGAGTCACCAACAAGAATGGCTAGTCTCGGTTTGAGATCTCTATTTTTCCTTTCAGAAGGATTTGCTCGAGGGTGATATACAGGTGCCAGGTCTTGCTTAATATCAAGTAAATCGCAAGTTTGTTGCATAACAGCACTAACAAATTGCATACCGTTATCGCTGATCAACCTCCTGGATAAACCATAACGTAAAAAAACTTCTATCAATGTTTTAGCACAATTTGCTGCTGTGGCTTCCTGTAGAACAAAGAGTTCCACCCATTTTGTACTGGTATCTTCAATTAAAAAGATCCATCTTTTCCCTGTAGGAGTTTCTGGAAGTGGGCCAAAAAGATCGATTGCCAGAGTCTCAATCCTTTGAGCGTAAATCGGTGTTCAAAGTAATCCAGCTGGTTTCTGGTTCGTAGGTTTGTTTCGATTGCATTCTGCACAGGTTTTGATGTAATCAGAGATGTACTGTCTCATTCCAGAAATAGTATCTGGAAGTGATCTTGTTATAAGTGCGTTCTACACCATAATGGCCATCTGTTGGAGAGTCATGGTACTCCTGCAATACTCTATGGGAACTACGAGTTGAGCATCGTCTGACTCAGTTTCAGGCGAATAGCTGTATAGGATACCCTCATTCATTATGTATCCTTGGCTGATAAAGTTGGCAAAATTTTCCTCTTTTTCATTACTTTCAAGAGAGTCAATAATTTTCTTTAGTTCTGCATCTGCCAGTTGCTCTTTTCGAATATCGCTAGACTTTCTGGTAGGCATATTGATAGATACAGCTTGCATTTCACAGTTAAGATCTTCATATGGATACGAGGGTTGTAAATTAAGTAATGGCAACATAGGTATAAATCAATTTTTAATGAACTTTCGAGTACAATTGTATTACATTCCTGCTATGTAATCACCAGCAAAGCTTATAACCTTTTGCCAAATGTCCGGAAGTCGTTGTGGACAAGTAGCAAGGTGTTGATGTGAGCGCCCTACTGCTGAGAGTACTGATGAAACGTCATGAAATCGGTGACCTAGGAGGGGTTCCTTCAACTTCGGAATCAGATCAAAGTCACAAGGACTCATGACTGGTGAGTCGGGAGGGTGTTCCAGGATTTCACACTGCCACCGTCTCAATAGGAGAGTGACTTTGTTTGCGACATGGCAATGAGCGTTGTTGTGCAATCCGATAGGAAGATTGTTGTGCAATAAACGTGGACGTTTGCACCGCATAGCCGGACGCAGATGGTGCTGTAGAAATCGGCAATAGTAATCTGCTTTGACAGTTTGTCCTTCAAGTACAGCATGTGTAAGAGTCACACCGTCCCAGTCTTTAGAGCGATGGAAATGAAACTCCTCATTTTAACGCCACACAACAACTACCCTTCTAAGCAGATCAACTGTTTTTTGCACTCTACACATCAACAACAACGCCACCTCACCCCTCCCATATCCTATTTACACATTCCCGCCCTTCTGTGAGTTTCAAGGTTAAGTTGCCACTATTTAATTTACAACCTCGTATATCGACCTAGAGAGCAGGTCAGCAACTACATTAGTTTTTCCTGGAGTATATACAATCTTTGGATTGAAGGATTGTATTTTTAAAACCCATCTTGCTGAGTGTCCAGATGGTGTCTTAATGCTCAGAAGCCATTTAAGTAGTTGATGGTCTGAAGCAATAATAATCTCTTGGTGTTCGTTGTAATCTCGAAACTTTTCTAATGCCCAAACTACAGCCAAGGCTTCACGTTCAGTTGTTGAATAGTTGCGCTCTGCTGGGATCAGCAGACGACAGGCATACTCGATAGCATGCTCTTCTGAACCATTTCCTTGGAAAAGGACTGCACCGAGGGCGTAGTTACTTGCATCTATGCGTATTATAAAAGGCTTAGATCCACCAGGTTGCTTTAAAATAGAAGCTGTTGTTAAGCGTTCTTTTAAAATTTCAAAAGCTTCTTCTTGCTCAGGTCCCCAGGACCACTCTATTATTTTCTTAGTTAGATTACTAAGCGGTCGTGCTATATCTGCAAAGTTTGGAACATATCTTCTGAACCAAGAGCAAGTTTGCAAGAAAGACAAGAGTTCTTTCACATTAGTTGGAACTGGAATTCTTTAGTTGGCAGCAATTTTCTCAGCATCGGCTTCAATTCCATCTCTCAAAATCCAGAAGCCTAGGTATTTTACTTTATCACAAGAAAAATGACATTTTTCTCTATTTGCATGAAGTTTGAATAAAGAAAGTCTTTCAAAAACAGTTTTCAAGTCTTTCATGTGTTTTTCAAATGTTTCTGATAAGAGGAAAATGTCATCCAGGTATGAGAGTGCAAAAACATCTTTGAGGCCACTTAGGAATTTGTTTATTAATCTCTGAAAGGTAGCCAGTGCATTTCTCAAACCAAAAGGCATGCGCTTAAAACGATATATGCCGAATGGACAAATAAAAGCCAGATTGTAAGTCTATTGTTGACATATATGATGTTGGCGTAGCTTCATTTAAAAGATCTATCATGCGTGGTAATGGGTAAATGTCCGGTTTTGTTACAGCATTGAGGCCTCTGTAGTCAATGCATAATCTGTTTTTCCCGCTGGGTTTAGCAACAAGCACTACCGGAGCAGCATAAGGGGATTCACATTCTTCAATAATGTTCTTTTCTAAAAGTTCCTCAATTTGTTCTTTCAAAATTTCTTTTTTGGCTGGCGACATACGATATGGAGGAACAGATACAGGAGAATTGTTTACAGTATCTATTCTGTGCTTCAAGAAAGGAGTAGGCTCTCCCCCTGGTTCAAAGCAGGTTTTATGTTCTTGAAGTAAGCAATTCAATTTTTCTCGTTGTTCCTGGGTCAGATGTTTCCCTTCATCATCTCTCAAGTAGACATTAGTGGCAGGTTCAGGTACGATTGTCGATTCAAAAGTTTTTGGAGTTTCTTTCTTTTCAACAGGCTTCACGTAGAAAAAATATTGTTTTTGCGGATCTTCACTGAAGTGCCAAGTTCCTTTTTGAACATCAAACACAATACCAGCTGCATGGAGAAAATCTCTTCCTAATAGTGTATTGTTGCCTTTAGCATCGGGCAGAACGAGAAGTTCAGTAGATACTGTCTTACCTTCTATGCACAGGTTGGCGACAGTTTTCAGAGCAACTATCGTGGAGTTTTCCATCAGCGAGAGTCAAGGAAATCTTCTTGTCCTCAAAAACAACTATGTGATTTCGTAAAAAGTCATATAACTTTTCTCCTGCTATAGAGTGTGAAGCACCTGTATCGGCACATACAGCAATCCTTTCTCTAAAAGGTTCGAAAATTATTAAACTCAAGAGATTAAAAATTTTTCCATTTGTAAATAAGTTCATGCAATTAACATTAGTATCTTCAGGTTTAGCTCTTGTACAAGTAGGGCACTTTGATTTCACTACTCTTGGCATTCCACATCCAAAGCATTGAAGTGGCATTCTTCCTTCGAATCTGGAAGCAGAATTTCGAGATACTGGCGTCCTTGATTGGCGACTTTGAACATTTTCACGTCTGGTTACTTCAGAACTCAACTTTCTATCTGAAGTGGTTTTTCTATTTTCTTCTCTAGGATATGCTTTCTTTTGACTCGGAGTCACTTGTTTCTTTACTACATGACGTATATTCTCGTACGTGTCCAATTTTTCGGCTAATTCTAAAGGATTGACCCAATCTGCCCATGAATCGATTAAATGTTCCTTGATATCTGGAGTTTTCCTTTTAATCTGATCAGCAATTATTTAATTTTTGAGTTGGTCGAATGAAGTAATATTCAGTTCCTTTGTCCATCCTTCGAAATAAGAAGCCAGTTCGAAGAAGTAATCCCTCCATGTCGTAGGGTAAACCAACCAGTGAAGGAACATTTCATATATATTGATTAAAAATAAGAATTTGAAAGTTTTTCTTTAGATTGATTGGTAACAATAGCTTACTGCCAAACAATAGGAAGTCATCTAGCAATGTTTTGGATTACCTGGTCACCTAGACTTCTCTGGAAAAATTTTTGAATTTGTTATTATCTCTGTAACACCTTGTTTCTTTAAAAAAAAATTATAAGGTGAGTGTTTGTATTTATATGTTTGAAGTGGAATTAATTTCATGTAATAGTTTTATTTTTCTCACTGTGAAAAAGAGAATTTAAAATATAGTTACGTTTTATTATTTTTTTTAAGCATCATAGCATTATAAAGTACTGAGATAAGGGGTGTTTATTCACTGGATCACCAAACGATGAAAAACCAGTGAAGGAACAAGTGTTCCTTTACTGTTTTTTTTCTAAGTTAATGAAAATAAAAGATAAACTTTAATTTTCTTGTACCTTAAGTGGTGTTCCACATCAAAAGTATGTTAAAAATACAAAAAACTTCTAACCAGTGAGGGAACAGGTATGTTCCTTTACTGGGCATAGATTTCCCAGTGAATAAACAGTATGTGTTAATATGTTGACACTTTAATTTTCAATTCATGATTACAAAAAAAATTAACATTTTCCAAGTATTTATGTTATAATTTCAAGAATAGGTTTGTTTTTAAATATTTGTATAGCTTATAAATTCATAAAGAGCATTAAAAATAACCAAAATTAAGTGTTCCTTTACTGGGTGTTCATTCACTGGTAAGAGCTGTTCCTTCACTTGGTCTTCTTACTACTTGTTATTTGAACCTCCAATACTTTAAAGCAATATTATGTAAGTTCTCTACAATTTTTTTACATAATTTGCAATTAGTAACAATTATGTTGACACTGTCATTTAACTAAAATTATGAATTTTGAAATTAATATTATTTTTAGAAAGGCAAGCGAAGCTTAAGTGTTCCGTTACTGGTTAGTTTGCCCTATCAGGACTCTTTCTATGTTGGGAGAATAGTTGTCGAAATTTATCAGCAGTCTTTCTGCTTCAACTTCTTTCTCTCTAGCTATTCTTTCATCCTCAGCTTTTTGTTCTTCTTTGAGGTGAATTTCAATAATAATAGTGAGCATATTTTTCACTAGCTCTTCATCATAATTCTCACTTTTAAGAATTAGTTCTCGAACATGAATAACTTTAAAGTTATCGAACACAGTCAGACCAAGCTCTGAGGCAAGAAGTCGCAAGTCTTCTTTTTTTCCTTTTCCAAGAAATGCCATTTCTGGAGATGATTTGAAACCAAAGAAAGGGGTTCGTTTGGAGGAAAAATGTTAAGTAAAATTGCTCGATGTCATGCAATATTTATTAATTTTTTTTTTTAACTGGTCGATTCTTAAATTGTTCAAACCTAATTTAACAGTCTTAGTTTATAAATAATGAATTATAACGAAACTCACCACCTTTAAATTTTTTCTTTTTACAAATATGAATTCTAAACAATTAGAACCATAAAAAATTTTTAAAATCAATATTAACAATAATGATATAAATTCTATAAACACTAATGATTTTTTTTAAAACACTCAGTTATTTATAAGCTTGGTGAAAACACTTATAAAAACAATGAATATAATTAAAATTCACTACATCTTATCACACAAAACCTTGTTGAGAATTGTATTACCATAAAATTGAAACTTTAAACACTTTAAATTTGCAATAAAAATATTCAATATTTTTCAGAAAACAGATTCAGCCATTAATAAGTAAATTTCAAATAAATGAAAATAATTTGCTTTTTCATTCAAATGCCATATCTTTTCACCATAAAAAAAAATTATTTTCTTAACTAATATTCTGAATATTTACTAAATCGTTAGTATCATTAATATCACATAAAACATAATTATGAAAGCAAAAAAACAAATATTACTCATAAAGCAATTCTTCACAACTTTACTTTGACCCTTTTCTTTTTTTCATTGATCATATAACAGAATGCTAAATATAAAATCAGAAAACTGATACATAATTAAATATTCCATAAACCTTAAGTAGATGATTTCATTTAAACATCTACCATCATTAAAAACAGTCATACAATATTTCAGAATTACTACTTCCAAAGTCATAAATAACTCTTTAAAGTATAAACATTTCCTCAACTAAGAAACGAATTAATCAATTACTTCCGTTTTCGGGAAATGAGTTTCACTTTGTATGCTTAACTTTCTTTTTAAAATCTTTAAAAAGCAATAGATTTTGGAATAAACTGCAACTTTATGTTTTTATACAGATATAAACACAATAAATATATATCTTCATTGATTAAAAATAAATTTTCTTAAGATTAGGTTAATCTTTATACATATAAACATAATAAATTGATCAGGTTGATCAAAATGTTTTGAAATGACCAGGGCGGTCTCTGAGCAAACGATAATATTAAAAGTTTTTACCGGGATGGTTAAAATCTATATTTATTTATGGTCAGGATTGATCGAATTTATATTTAGTAAGCTAAATATAAAAACTACTTATCGTCTTGGATTGACGCATCTATTCATCGGGCCACCCGTTGGGTTGCCACTTTGTGAAGTGTGGTGCAAAGGGGGGAATAAAAATTCAATAGCTAGCTCACTTTTTACTTTATTTTAAACAACATGATTATATTTGAGCACACAGCACATTCACAGGCATAACATATATGAAGAAGGAGAAAAATAAGGAGCTCTGCATGGTAGGCTTTCTACCGTTCATTCACACTCTCTCACTGTCTCTGAGTTTTTATCCAGTTTCTCGCTAGGGGGCATTGCTAGTTTCAGTGTCTCCACAGTAATATATTTTAAATATGTATAATAATTAAAAAGCAATAATCCATTGAGTTGTCAACATAAATAATCACTTTGTAGTAAAGCTAACCCTTTATCAAAAGAATTTTAATTTACTTAGTAACAAAAAAAAAACAACTTCAAAATACATTATTCTAAAAAGGCAATAATGATTATAAAAAATAAGTTTTAATTTATTATCTGGCATTTATAATGAACATTTTACACATTACAATAATAATCATTACACAAAATGTAATATTTGAAATTTTTTTTATTCAAGACATGTGTATTTTTCACAGCAGTACAAACCATTATTTAAACTTTTCGAAGCTGAAAAGGTACAAAACCCTACTTTGAATCTATAATAAATCTAATAGTTGCTCTGATATTTGGTTTCTCCTCAAAAATATTTTGTCCTGGTTTGTCAATATTTAAGAAAAAAAAAAAAAAAAATTTTTTATTCCTATTATTTATAAAAGTCTGTATGTAATATTCCTAAATTTTTTCTGTTCCCCTATCACTTTAAATATTTCATTATTTAAACAGTTTTAAATAAGCCCTAAATTTTATTTTTATACACTTTATTATTCATTTCATCCGAGTATTATGGTTTAAAATAGTTTTTTGCATTATTACCTCCTATAGTTGCTTTTCTTTTTTATATCAGGTGATAGGTGTTTATAAAGCAAAATATTCAGACACTGTTATTTTGAAAATCTGGGATGGAACTAAGTCTAATGAGTAAGTTCTTCCTTGCTGTAAAAATGTCTCTTAAGTTTTGTAATGCGCCGTGAAGTCAAAATCTAAATGCATCTTTTCCCTTAAAATATATATATAAATAGTCTTTAAAATTGTATTTATTATTTCTTTGAAGTTCCTAACTATCCATTTTTTCCTAATTATTCAGTCTAACCTGTTTATATTATCTTGTTTTAACAGTCTCGTCACAAATGTTATTCTTACAATGTTAATAATACCCATTTAGATTGTTTTTTACGTACTATCAAATTCTGTTTATTGTGCAAAAATTTTACCAACTTTTAAAAAAGTATATTTTATTTTATAACTGGTGTTAAAAAGCCCACCCAATTCTAAGTTTGCTTCTACTAATGCTAACTTGTAATTTTGAACCCAACCCAGAACACAAGAGAATTTTTGCATCAAACTTTATTATAAACTAGCCTTCTTGGAGAATTATATAATTGAACTAACCCACATTTGCCTTACACGGGGAGGAAAACCTGTCACGGTTATACAAAAGCAAGGGGATTCCATTATCGTCCTACCACTGGGGAAATTTTGCGTCAGCACCATGGTCAGTGTGAGCCAGGTGCAGAACTCATATTGACCAGCCATTGCTGTGATTTAAACCTCATTGGTGAGTGCTCTATTCTCTGAGCAAACATGGCTAAAAAAACTGTTAATGTTATTTCATTTTGAGAAGAAAGACAGTGCTGATATACAGTAGGAAACCGATTATCCGGAACGTTCGGGACCATCGCTATTCCTTATAACTGATTTTTCCGGTTTTCTGAATCGCTACAAAAAGCCGTTTTTTTTTATTGTTAAACCCAAATAAAAAAAAATTGGGAAATAATCTTAAAAATAAGAAAAAACGATGAAGTAATACACTAATGATTATTTCCAAAATGATGGTAAGGTAAACATCTTTAAAAAAAGAAAGAAAAATCGTAAAATCTTACGAGGAAAAAAATTTTTTTTTTTAAATGGTGAAACATTTATCGAATTTTGTTCCAGTTTTTTGATTTCCGGATAACGGGTTCTGTACTGTGCTAATAATGAAGAAGGAAAGCAGAATTTTGTACAGTTTAGGAAGAACATCTAAATCAGCTCATTTGATGCTTATGCATCATTTTATGAAAATGTTGTAATTTGTGGTGCTGTTGATTAAGGAAATGGTTGCAAAAACTGGAAAAGTTTGAAATGATACCAATGAAAATGGTGAAATGGAACACCAGCTAGTGACAACATTTGTAAAAGGCCTCAAAGCCTTTGAAACAACAATAACATTCTGCATTCATGGAAACTTACACAAAAGGAACAGCAATATGTTACAAATGTTTACAATTTTAGTTTATGCTAAAAAAAGGTGCTTAAACCATATTTTCCAAATATTTTAAATAATCATCTTTCTTTTATATCTTAAGTATTTTAGCATTAAATACATAATTTTTTTAATTGAGATTTTTTATACTTTATTTTAAATTTAATAATTTTTAAGTGTATTACATCTATCAAGCAATTTTTATTTTTATGTAACATTACATTTCATCAGCTTTTAATGTATTTTATGAGTGAGCATGTTTATTAAAAGGACCAGTGATATTATGTATGATTTTAACTTGCATTAATATAATTTTTCACTATTTATCTCTTGAAAAAATTATTTTAGGATTGAAAGTTCACATTGTGGTTTGAGAGACGAAAAACTAGATGAGAAACTTTTTCTGATTGCTAAGAGTTATTGTGCTGTTTTCCACGTTTTTGGTCATCGTCATTGTACAATGGCTGCGGAGTTAAAGGTTTGTTTCAATTTTCACTCAAAATATTTTAAGGTAATGAATTAATTTTATAATAGAAATTTAAAAACTTTTTTTTTTTAAATGAGATGAAAAAGTAATCTATATTTTGAAGGCTGAAATGAATTCAGTTTTTATATCTATAGGTAAGTTAATTATTCCTTTGTGTAATATGAACATTACCTAATTTATATTAAATATTGGAATTAAAAAAATTATACATAAATTTATCTAAAGATAATTTATATTTTTGAGTTTAAAATATTTGAAGTTCTACATATTTTGTTTTTAATTTAATTAAAGTTTAGCAATTTTTAAACTTACTTTAAGACAATTTTCTTTCACTGTTTTTAAATAATTTAATTTAAAATAAATTCATGAACTGCATTTATTTCATACATGTTTTAAATAATATTTTTTAAAATTTTAATTTTATTTAAAATTGTGGGAAGATTTAAATATTTTGGTGCCTTTAATTAGAGCCTCTTAATTTTACAATTTTAGCATTATGATTTTTGTTTATTTAAATTAGTTAGAAAAAATATATAAAACTTATGTTAAATATTTTTTCCCAAAGTTTTCCTGGAAGGTGGGATGCCACACGCTAACTATTCAAGGGCTGCAGTTTGACCTCAGGCCACATGTTTTGTACCCCTACTTTATGCTAATTAACAAACTGTTCCTTATTTTTTTTTATGATTTTATCCTAACTTATAATATATTTTTAAAAAGGCTGCATTTCATAGTTTTCTACATGCCTTAAAATCTTACTGGTTTCTTAATTCTTTTCACTTACTCAATTCTTAAAATTTTCTTATTTCTGGATTCTGCAGAATATCTTCTATTGTGAAAAGTTTTGATTACATGATGTTAAAACATCAGAATTTTTATTTTCTTTTGAGAGAAAATCCTGTTTTAAATGCTTATTTTTGCTGTTTCGAGTGCTACTACCTTAATTATTTCTTGTTTAAAGGATAAAAACTAAAGTCTGCTCTTGTTTTATTTATAGCCTTTTTCAGAGGTGTAACTAGACTAGAGTTAGAGAAAATGACGTTATAATGCGTTTTTTTTTATGGGTTAGAATGCTTTTTTCTGGGCTCTAAACGTCTATGATAGAAACACCATTTGTTATATAAGTGATTCTCACGAAATAAGATAATTTACAGTCTCTTGCTTCAAGATCTAATACTATACTACTGAAAAACTTTTTTTTTAAATTTTAGTAAGTAGAATTGCTGTTAGTATTTTAAAAGGACCTTGTACTAGTATTGGCCGTTTTGTATATTTAAAAACTTTATTTGAATTTCAAAATGTCATTTTCCTGGTATGTAACGAACAATATTTCCAATAATAACTAGCTTCAAAATGTCCCATAAATTTTTCAACATCTAATTTTTTTATCTCAACTATTGTAAGCATTTCTAGAATATATGCAGAGGGTGTTATTTACAAAAACTTTGTTGAAAGTATTTTTTTCCGTCAGTAATTTGTCACAAGGCTACTTTTAGTTGGCTACTTTTATTTAGTGATTTATAACCAAAATAGATAGCGCCAGCAATCCAATATCTTATGTTAATAGATTGATTAGAATACCATCCTATTTGAACATGTCTTATTGCATGAATATTTTACCAACTTTCTAGTTCAAAACCTATTTTAAAAATTGTTTCAAGGTGAGTAGGTTTTTATGTTGTCATTTTCCTGTCTTCTTGAAATCATTAATAGCATAAACTACATAGATTTACCTGAGTTATTCCAAGAAATCCCGTTGTCTTCTGCGGAATGTAAACATCTTAGGCCGAAATGTTAAATTAAAGTAAAGTTAAATGCTATATAATGGCAAATTGTCATTATCCTGGCTTATGAATGCCAGGACATTGAAACTGTTACCAGAAATTTTTTAAGCAGTTAAATGTAAAGAGAGAAAGCAAATATTAACCTGATACCAGGATATGTAAGATTGTAACATGCTTGAATTAATCAAAGTTATTTTTTCTTGACTAAATGTCAATAAACTACACTGCTGTCTGTAAGATTTTAATAAATGTAACTAAATAAATATACAAACTTTTTTTTTTATTATTTTGAAGACTTTAAATTTGAAGAAATTTTTAGTTCCGGATTGTCATGTTTCCAAAGAATCACCCATACAGTGTTGCCAGAACTTAAGATTAAAAATCGAGGAAATTAAAAATAAGACCTAACTATAGTCCATTCCACCTTAAGTTGGCACTGGAGAGAAAGGTAGGTAGACCGGATTACAGCCGTTGTCATGGAAACTGGGTTACTCCTTAAGTCAGTTTGGGGATGAGGTTGCAAAAAAGGGAGAGAAAGTAGTCAGTATTGGCGTTTAAGAAAGCAAAACGCCGATTTTCTTTNCACCTTAAGTTGGCACTGGAGAGAAAGGTAGGTAGACCGGATTACAGCCGTTGTCATGGAAACTGGGTTACTCTTTAAGTCAGTTTGGGGATGAGGTTGCAAAAAAGGGAGAGAAAGTAGTCAGTATTGAGGAATGCATTGGCGTTTAAGAAAGCAAAACGCCGATTTTCTTTTTTAAACCAAGAATCGTACTAAAATTTTGAGGATACTAGTTGTAAGCTGATTTCTTAATTAGTACTTAAAAAGCAGATTTTCTTATTATGATTTTTAGACTAAACGAAACTAATTTTAAACAACTGAAAAAAATATATATTTAAAAAGATTCTTTTTCGCTGAAATCTAATTAAAAAAAAGAAATGCATAGATACGCATAAATACTTTGTCTTAAATATTTATTTTTATATTCTTATTT